ATTATACATGTCTTAAAACATATTTGAAACCTTTTTCCCTTTAGTMGTTTTCTCTATATTAGGAAAATGAAACAAAAAAAACCAAATCCCTCCTCAAGCTTTTCATAAGGACTTCTAAAATATATACATTCCTAACACTGAGAAACACACGTAAACATATTGGAGTTACTCACACCAGAGAACCAAAATATAGAAACTAAAAAGAAAATTCAATTCAGATTATATTAAAAGCAAATTTAAAAACATTTATGGCATGACAGCCTTAGACAGAGATAGTGTAGCCATATTAGGACAAACGTATATTTAATAAAAAACAAAAAAAAAAGCTGTAGTCTTTTAAAAAGGTGATGCATCTATGCCATTGATAACCAGACTGTTTTGAGAACATCATGTCAAATCTTCTGGGATCCAGTTTATTAGGCATTTCCAACTAAAAAGAATTAACACAAATTCTTTCCATGGATTGAAAGGTACCTATTTTTAACACATTATGATTAAAACTGTTCCTTAAAATCTTTTAAAATAAGTAACTGGAATACTACGTTTGCGTAAACAGTTTCCAATAACTCACTTTTTTTAATGAACAAATTTTAGAATAAACATTAAACTGCCAAAATTGGAAACACTATAGTTGCTACAAGGCTTTTATGCAGGAAGCACACTAAAAGCCAACAAAGCCAGCCTGTATCAGAAGAGAAGCAAGGAGGATAGGCAGATGAAGCCAGAATCCAGTTGGAGTAGGTGTGGCTAACCTTTGTAGGGTCATTCTCCCTTTCACCCTACATTCCTTGTYTTGTGAAGAGGRTAYAGTCTCAGCACAAGAATTTACGTTKGAGCAGCAAGGCACTCAAAYGGACAGAGAAATACATTAGTTATTTTGGTGACATTGCTACACTGGGACCTCTGGAAGAGAGAGGGAGAAGTCATGTTGCTCCACAGCTCTGAAGCAGAAACCAAACCAGGTAAAGTTTTGAAGGCAGAGGTTTATTAAGGCACAAGATCCACCTGACACTTTTTTTCCCAAAAGAAGTCACTGTTCAGTTGCAGAAATGATAAGTAAATATCTTGGCTGTATACAAYGTCAGACGACATGACTTGACATCATAATCCCTTTTGCATAAACATCTGTGCATCTTTGATTTGATCAGAAATATTTTATTTTATGYTAAAATGGATTTAGCTAAATGAAAATTACCAGAAAAGTTGAGGAATGGACAAAGAAAAAGTTCCTCTACCAAGAAAGTAATAAATAAAATCCCATCTTAAATCCAAATTAGAAGTTTTCTGCCTTTAATAGAAGATTTGCTAGTTTTTCTGAAATAATTATAATACTTCCATTAGAATTATATTATCAGGATATGCTATTTACACTGGGACTTCTTATTTCTTGTTGTTGCCGTTCCCTCTCCAATAATTACAAAATATTTTCAGCAGGTACCATACTTCCTTTAAAGTTAACAGCAACTTTTGCATGCTGTGCTTACTTGCAGAACTAATAGTTTGTGGTGATACATTATATACATATTAACTTWGATTTTATTTTCATGCAATTTGTATTTCACTGAAATACAATAAATTTCTGTAACAGCATGAGTGGACACCTCCTGTGGTTGGTGATGACTGGTGAATGACAACTGTAAATAGAGGATCAGTCTTAAAGCTTGTTAGAAAACAAGACTAATAGATGGGAGCCTCTCACTGACTGACAAGCATAACAACACATTTATTACCAGAAACTATGCATTTTTTAACCTATTGATATTATGAAGCATAGTGATTAGATCACCTTTTTTTCATCACAAGAACAGTCCTTAGATGTTTACATATGGCAAAAAACCAGAGGGTGATTTATATTTCATTATTAACATGGCAATCCAATTTTCTGGAGAATTCTATAAATGCAGTTGCTCCTTCTTAATGAGAGCTGCCAGTAAACCAAACAGATGACTCTTTCATACAGGTTTCAAAATGCAAATTTATTTCAAATAGAAACCCAGCTAGGTTAAATCAATTCTTCTTCAGTGCAATCTAAGTATGTTCTTGACCAATCCACAAACACTCACATGAAAATGATAATTTTGGAAAGCTGCTTATCTACTGAATATCTTTTATAGAAGTTCTTGTAATATGAATACCTTTCTGTTTTAGTGAAAAAATCCTTTTTAATTAGGTAGAGAAGTAGTTTAATAGGCCAGCAAGGGATATAGTAGAAAGAAGCAATGAAATCAATGGAAATGAAAAAATAAAGAAAAAGCTAAYGCTCTTCATGCATACCAACATAAATCACTACTGTATATACATTGGAATAGTTCTGATACAGCAGAAGTCTTCATATTTTGGCTATAAAAGCAGTGCTACTGCCTTCTATTAATCAAGGCAACTTTCTTGTATGAGTGTTTAACAGAAAATTAAAACTAATTAAATACTGCAAGAAAATATTAGCCCATTATTAAAATCCTGAAGTAGAAATCAGAATTACATTAAACCATAAAGAAAACAAAGTGAAAATRAACTTAAGTTAAAAAGTCTATCTTTTATTGAATTCTGCATAAACCAAATAGCGTATCTGGTTAAGAGCAATTCAGATTTTAAATTCAATTTATCTAAAAGACAGTTAATAAAATTGACTTATTTTATACATTTGACTTTTAACCTGAAACACTTTTGTCTCTTTCTTTTAACTTAAGATAGATGTATCAGAGAGAGATAACMCTATTCATACAATTAATTTGCTTATTACAGAATGCAATGATTTGATCAGTGAGGGTGATAAATGACAAAACAAGTGAAGTTATAAGCTGAAAAGTGTAAACATAACTAGYACCTCTATGGCAAAATAAAGAGAATTTGAGATGACCACATGTATTAATAAATAAATTCTTATTAATTTCTATACCCTTTATCTTCATATGAAAATTCTCCAAACTAGTTAGAATCTGGAAAAATTTACTGCATATTGTTCTAACAAACCAGTCTGGATATAGGTTATTTTGATGGCTCCAATAAATTCTCTACACAAGAATGGAAAAGGTTATGAAGGTAAAGACCAAACGAGGCTCACAAGTGAAACAAGCTCTACCTATCTAAGGTGCAATCCAATTAAAGTATTACACTGCTCTATTTAACTCCGTTTAATTATGCCCCCTAGTAAAATTAAAATAGACTTGGTGCTTTCAAGTAAGTTTAAACCGAATCTTTAGTGTTTGAATTGATTCTTGAATATTTCAGCTGATACACACCTATCAAATGTAAAATTACAATCTAAAATCATATTGTGCTACTTCCTTAGCAGGAAATGTATTTCTGATGTAGTCTAAAGTATSATACTTACAAAACTATATTATACTGAAGAAATAGTACCCTAAGACACAAAGGAAACTATTTTAGTGCCAAAATGCAATTCACTAATTGTCATTTAGCACAATTGTCAAAAGAAATTGTCACAACTAGCAGTACTTTTTCCTATTCTTAATGGTGAGTTGATATAGCAGGATAGAATTTATTTTGAGTAACTAAAATAGGCTGTTTTACTGATACATAGAGCAAGAGAAAAATGACGCTGAAGGCATGCACTTTAGATTTTGTTCTATGTTGGCAAATTCTACTTTAAATTTTTGACTAAAAAATCAAACCAGCTTTTAAATTGTAAAATATTCTATGGAGTTCTGATATTCAAATAATTCTAGGATTTCTAACTTCCAAGTAACTCTTCATTTGTGTTTTTTGGACACATTTGAGCCTCACTTGTTTCCCCCGATAGTTAAGTATCTGAAATCTGAGAGAGGAATGACACTTATTTCAGAAAGTGTGTTCTTCTATTAAGTCATGTAAAATACAAGCAAATGTTAATACACACTCTTTTTTTTTTAACTCAAGTATAAAATTCTCTGTTTCTGTGAAAGCTCCCACTRTGTTCCAGTGGGATAGTTACACTATCAATGAATTACAACTCTTCACAAYTTTTGTTCTCAGAAAATAACACTGCATAGTTTTCTTGGACTTCTTTCAAATAATATTTCTTGCATGGTACCTACAAATGCATTCATCAATAYCAATTACCTTAAGATTCATAATAGAAAGAATTTTAAGATCATCTAAATGATCCAAAGATTTTATGTTAGTTCCTAAAAATTAAGTTCCCTAACTTTACTGCCACTTTGAATACTGATCAACCTGTATTATCAATGATGCATTATCTCCTTTCTATATTTTTAAACTGTTGCTACCCTGTGTTTCACAATTCTCCTCCCCATTGCTTCCAAAGCTCTACATCCAGACCAGAATACTCAGAATAATGAGGTAAAAGTACTCCTTAGGGCTAAGCAGTAAAGGGAGATGAGTATAAACCCATTTTCCTAAAATATAGGCCGACTGAGTAAGCTCTTAGGGAAAGTTCTGTGCTCATGTTTACGTATCCAAATATTCTATACCACAGTCGTAACAGAATGCATCTTCCCATAGAACTGTCAGACATTCCCACAATGAGCTTTTAATCTGGAACAGAATTTGGAGACATACCATAGATAAGTAAGAAAAAAGTAGAACCTCAGTATTCTGAACAACTGAAAATTTTCTGAAATAAGCTACCAAAATGATWCTATTATCAGGCAAACAAACTGATTAAATACAGGGAAGTTACAGATACTGATCTGTAATTTATATTATTTAACATTTATATCTAACATAGTTAGGCTCAACAACACTGTATCTTTCTTGTGCTTTTAGAAAAATTACAAAATTTAAGTATGAAATGTAATTATTTGCAAGCTGTCAATGAAAAGGTATCCTTCATAATTAAGTTCTCATGATATTCTTATTCCTGCATCTTAACACATATATAGTGCTTTTTTTACAGAAAGTACTATGTAATCCTTATTCTGACAATGTAACACTACAATGTAACACTTCTGTCATAAAAACTGTGTCAGTCTGCAAGAACATCTGAGTGACTAGAAGACTAGACTAGTCTCAAAGATTTTGCATCAGTCTGAAATACTTACTGTCGCTGGGGAGGCCCGCGTTGTGTGAGTCACTGTATGACCAGAATTTTCCATTGAATTGCCAATCAGATAGGTCCCTCCTGAGCTGCTAATGAGTTGTCCTCCTGTTACGCCCATCTGAATCCCTCCAGTGCCCACCATGCTATGAGACGAGACCACTGTTGTCACCTGTGCAGAACTTCCTTGAGTATCAAAATAATTTCCCCCAGTGTTTTGACTGTACATCTGGGTTTCTGTGTAAGGATAAGTTGTTGATCGGCTTCAAGAAAAGAAAATAAAAGAAAAGRAAAATACATTATTTGTATTTCATTTAGCTGAGGGTAATGCTATAACTCTAGAAATTTATTTACAATAACTAAACTCAAATCAAGTAATATTGGCAAACAATCCATCTCCTCAGAGAATAACATTTAATCAAGACAAAGCATTAAACAACTAAYTCAGTGTCAATGTTAAATCAAGTATCCACCAAACAGTACAGAAAAATCTGTCAGTCTTACAAGAAGAAGAAGAGATAAAGGAACAACAAAAACTGAAGGCAGGCAAATAGAGCTTATCCAATTATKAATTTATTGCAAAGTAATTTATAAAGCTCTGTCTGTATCAACATTTCTAAGATTTGACAATAGAATTTTGATTTCCAGTCAAATGTTATATGTTTTGCATAATGTGCAGTTTGCAAAATTACAAACAATCAATACAAATGTAAGCTAACAGAGTCCAGTGTTCAAGAACCCTATTGTTTTTAAATTCAACTGAAGCTCTGGACTGTAGCTTAAAATTCTGAGATTGCTGGTATTTTGGGAAATGCASTTATTTTTACAGGCCAATTTCAAAATTAGACATGAATTCATGTTAGGATAAACAAGAATTTAAGAAAAAAAACCAAACAGAACTGTGACTTCTAAAATGATAACAAGATTTTGAAAGTAGTAAAGGTATACAACACTAATGTTTTAAAGATAATTACCAAGTGTGAAACATTCATATGTCATTAATAATTTTACCCTAACAAACTACTCAGCTACTGAAACCTTCTATCACCTGTTTCATGATCTTATTTGCTTATCTTGAATCATTTTTCTTCATGGGTTATAATCTATTTATAATTTTTGAGTATTTATTTACTCCCATGTACTAAATTTGATATTTAACTCAATGTATTTCAAAATTATAAAGTACACATAATTCATATAATTCCTTACTTCAAAGATTGTATCTTTGTATCTTGTAAAGCATGATAACAAACAAAAATGAGTCAGTTTATCCAACCATTAATTTTCTTATTTAAGCATAAAAATTTGTAACATGTCTTGTTATCCACAAGCAATATCAATCTGTATGCCATGTAACTGCACAAGTTCAAAAAACGTCAACCAAACAACAAAATTCCAGACACTTTTCTATAGACACACAAGAGGTGGATGCAGCACTCATGTATAATGCAGTTAGCTGATGATTAATACACCTATGCAAGAACCTGAAGTCAGGCTTTTCTTCCCATTGAGCTATATGTTTATTTTTCTATCAATGTAGAGAAAAAGTCTAGAAAATTWACTGTTTGGGTTTTTTGGAATTATGAAAACGTATGTAAGATTAATTAATTAGTAAACAACAGACACAGAAATTATATTTTTTTCTTGACCTTCAGAGAACCATTCCTTCAAAATAACTGAGGAACATAATAGCACCTCATCAACAATCAAAGTCAGGAATTTTGCTTTATTAACTATRGCACAACAGTTTCTCCCTTCCGCTTCAGAGACTTCCAGAAACTCCAAAATTTACGTTCTAAAATCTGGTATGTTGCATAAGCCTTGTACTAGATTATTCGCTCTTACCCCTCTTTAAGTTACTGAAATATTTTCCATTTTGTTCTGAGTATTTCAAAAGCCTCAAGATCAGCTGCAAAAACCTGGAACTTAATCTAAAAGAAATGCCTGGTAGTCTGTTGAAAACAAAGCAACATAGCTCTTTTAGGGACTAATGCTCAAACAGACATTTAATTTATTCATTTTGGAAGTTAAAATCCATTGACTTTTGCAYTGCAATGATCTATGTATGTATTTAGGTACTGTGCAGGTCCTGATTAATCTGTTCTCTCAAGCCAAGAYATCATGTGATACCTTAGGGATACAGTTAATTTTAGAACCATAGAAAAGAAGCCCTGAGTTGTTAAGGTTGGAAAAAAATATYGAGCCCAACCATTAACTGAATGCTGCCACCTTCATCACTAAATCATGTTCCCAAGCACCACATCTAGATGTTTTGTGAACATTTCCAGGGATGCCGACTCCAACACTTTGCTAAACTGCCTGTTCCATTTCTTGATCATCCTTTGCAAGAAAGAATTTYTTTTCTTAATATCTAACCTAAGTCTCCCCTGGTGCACCCTAAAGTCATTTATCTTGTGATGAGGACAATAATCACTAGCAGATATGATATTGCCTATATCTTTACACCTCTGAATGATGCTATGCAGCACAGGACAAATTTGGGGAAATGTGATGCAGGTTCAGTGAAAACAGTTAATGGAAATGATCACCAAGTGACGATTGACCACTGCAATTTTTGCCAAAACAGAAAAGAAAAATCTTGGTATCAGCTGTCAGTAAGGAAAGGAATGAAAGGGTAAGATCAATGTTGACAGCAAAAATAGACATGGCCAGAGGAAATACACTGTACAAAAGATGCAAGGAGAAAAAAAATCTCACTTGCAAAAGTGGAACTGAATTTTGGAAGCAATGCAATTCCTAGAGAATGCATCAAGTTTCAAAGAAAATTAAGTCACAGACCTGGTATGGAATAGRAGTAGAAATGTTTTCTTGCTTTTCCTTTGTTCAGGTATATCTGTAAATCATATGTATTATCTGTAGGCCTATATATCACACATAGTCTCGAAATAAAGACTGAATGTAACAGCAACTATTTCTGCTTATAACAGTACTCTGTATCAGTGGGACATCAATTTTGTCTGGCTCCATAACAAACACACTCTTCCCTTTGTTCCAACAACCAGCAGGCCTTTCTAGACTACCTGATTATTTAAGATGAGTTAGGAAAACTTTCACAAAAGAGATCAATTGGATAATTAAAAGTGAGATAAAGCTACTATTATTACATGCAATAATAACTGCAACTTAGCAAAAAGACATTTAATTTAACATCTGGAAATTCCAAATGTAGCTGGGTGAGATAATGCAGCACAAATACGTAATACTTTCTCAAATAACCTGACACATATCATAGTTAGGTCTTTCCTGCTACAAAGGTTGTAAAAGCATTCCTAGTTCTTCTCTCTAACAGCTGCATATAAAGATTGCACAGGGAATAATTGCAGTCTTCTTGCTCTTTATGAGAACACATTGATGATATGCACTTGCTTGAGATAGAAGGAAGCCAACAGAATCTGATAGTTCATACTATTGAAATACTGTGAAGTTTGATATTTATTAGAATGAGGCATTAGAAAGCTTATATGTTCCAAGTAAATTTAAAGTCTAAGTAGTCAGGCTGTAGAATCCTGTCTCTAGGAGGCTGTGCAAACTAGACCGTGTATACCCTGAGAGCAAATGACACAAAATCACACWGTGTGAATTCAATTTAGATTAACCAAGCCCAGAACAGGTGTCTTAAGTTAAGATGCTGCACTAGAAATTAATGATATCAGCAAGAGTCAGACTAGCATTGCAAGGTACAATAATTTAAGGCATTACCTATTATGTCGTATTGCTTACATACATTTTATAATTATTTACAAAATATAATGCTATAAATAGAACAGATGGACTTGTGGTTTAAAGTTGCTAAAAAATGATTTTTTTACACATGAAAACAGGAAATAACTAATTTATACATTCAGTAAGCCCCAGCATTATCACACAAATTAAGTGCAATGTCTTGCCCTACATTACAGACACTAATATAATGTTACTGAGCCCAAATCCTCAGATACTTTTGTCTCTTCAAAGACACAATATTATGAAAAAAGGAGACAAATAAAAACAATGACACAAAGATAGAGTAACCTTGTTCTTAGTTTTCAGTGTGAACAYGCACACATGGGAAAGAATTTATTCCCAGCTGCACCTATGATTAGATTCTATGTAAATATCAAATAAGTGATCAATTGACTACTATGTATCAGTGTTTAAACTATCCCATCAAGTCACAGTGGTTTACAGTGGCTGATCATGGTCCCAGATTTTCTTCAAAATACATTCCAGTAATTTCTGTGTCTTGCAAAGTAAGTAATTAACTACAAAATTTATATCAAGCTCCATCTTGGAAAATTCAAGTATTGGCTAAAATGCACATAATTCTAATGTTTTTTGCTTGAAGATGCATAGCTTTTGTATTTGAACTTGAAATACCAGCATTCCTGCAAAGTGGCCATAAAAGAACAGCACTGCAATTTAAAGAAGAAAACCACTCTTTATTTTGTTTTTCTGTAATTCTAATTCAAACAAACAAGCAACACAACAATTATTATCTTACTCAGAAACTAACAGCCTTGGAATTATTCATTTGAGTTTTGGTATGGATTACTTACACAAAAGTTTAGCAGGTAGGCATGCATAGAAGGTTTTTTTTCACTGTCACCTCGGTAATGACAGTGAGGCTTTTATGGTACTTAATTAACTAATGTATTGTTTTATGTGATGGAAATATGATTAACACTAGATGAAAAGAAATATTTCAAGACACAATTATTTATGTACAGAATAGGTAAGGCTCCTGAAAATGCTATGGTATTGCAACATGTTAGTAAACCTCCAAACAAAGTAATTCTTTCATGCCAGAACTATACCATAAAACTCCTTTAAGTTTTTAGGATGATCCCGTGGTCCTTAAGCTAATACTGAGCCTCATAAAAACTAGAGGGAACAGAATCCCTAGTCTAATACYGAGGGAAGGCCTTATCTCAGCCAGRTTCTGGAGGTGATGTGTGCTATGCAAAGGGAAGAAAAGGAAGTGCCATAGACTTGTCACAACAGAACATGGTACAGCCATTAAAATATAATAGAGAAGACTAAATCATCTGTCTCACCCTATTTCATACAACCTCCTTCCCACAAAGACACTTCTCTAACCATTCTCTAAGAATATTGATTCAGGACTTTTTAACAACAAATCAAATCCCAATGAAGCAATAACCTTCTTCCACAAAAAGCCTCTATAGTCTCTGACCTAAGATAGAGATGGAAGAACTGATTAAGACAGGAAGCCATAATGYTCTTTCACCAGTCCCCTTTTATAAAACAAAACTGCTAAGCACAAAGTTCAAAACCCATCCTATGAAAGTCAATTAATGCACCAATAAACAAAGAATGAAAACTCAAAAAAAGCAATTTCCTCTGTAATACTGAATGCTTGACCTGCTTTATGCATAACATTTTCTCCACATAGACAATTTAAAATATATCAGTCAGACAAAAGCTTTACAAAATTTCACTAAAATAGAGTTGCAATATTGTWTATGAAGAAACTATTGTCAGATTCAAAACTGAAATAAGTATGTTACTGACAGGCATTCAATAGCCATAAAAAAGAATGCAGATCTTTAACACTGAGTCCAAGATCATTTTCCACATGGAAATAAAGCAATAAAGGAACACACAATACACAGCTACAGAAATCCCTGCAAACCAGGGAATATAGTAAATGAAAACAAAGATGCAATTCTATAAATTTTACTCTTGTGATCTGTAAGTTAGACAGTTAAGGAAACATTAATTACAGATTTCTAAAATTCTGATGAGGTATGGCAGACTTATAGTCCAAGAAATATGGTATTGCTTCTTTAGGAACTTGTTAAAGAGTGTCTACTAAATCTGCAAGACCTCAGGAGTTGAGGTTGTCAGGCTCTTYGTATAGACTTCTCTGTCTTAGCCTAGAGGTTTGTTCTAGCAGTGGTTGTTGAACAATTAGATAAATATTACTTATTTCCATTTTAGCTTAGGTCTCTATGATTGTGTGGTGTGAAACCTATAATTAAAATGCTGAGGCATTGTTCTGTCTAATAGATGACAATATTAAATGGTTATTCTGTACAGAATAAACAATCAGTGATCCCAGATTAAAACTCTAATAAAGAGAATTATGAGCTAGCATAACAGCATTCAAGAAGTAACCAGCAAAAACACATGAAACAAAGTCACATGTACCATGCAAATGGAAACCAATGAAGAATAAGATATACACTATGCTAGAACACATTAAAAATAGCTGCAAGCATATGCACTGTGGAAAGGCCCTCATCACCCATCATACGTTGCCCCTGCATAACACCTCTGTTAATGGTAAATTGTTGTAACTCTCTAACTCTTTCTCAGACAGGAGCCATTCACCTTAGTATGCATAAGGGTAGCAAAAGAAAAAGGATAATACTGGAGAAAAGGGATAGATACTAGTAACYACTAGGAAGATAACTTTAACTACATCAATAGTAATTAATTTATTTAACATTTAAGATTTCACTTAGGGTAATAGTAAATTCTTGGGTTTGCATACATGGTGTGTTTTGCCAACATACACCCCACAAATAATTGTACAATAAGTTGGTAAAGAATGTGGTTTGGATACAACAGCAACAGCAATCCTTGAACAATCCCAGCAATTAAAACTCTCCTGCCATGTCAGAATTACCTAGGTAAATGGCTACATCTTTTTAAATGTTACAATATTTGTAAGAAGAATGTTCATGTCTAGTAAGCAGGACCAATTGACTTCTTAACATGAGTATAGTAATCACATTATATATATATATATATATATATACTATATATAATATATTACTAAACAGCCAAGTAAGGCTGGCTTATGCCTTGCAAACAACAATGCATTTTTGTTTCAGGATAGAGTGACATGCTTGACAAGCAAAACTGTCGTTAACTAGAGACAAATATAGATAACAATTCAAATATTCTCATATCATACAACATATGTGACAAGTTGTGGGCTATATCCCTTGTGTTATTATATTGCCTCCAATTATAATAAAAYCAAATAACTATTAAATGTAGACAAATCAGGGTATAAAATGTGTGGGAAGAACTGTGTTATGAGAATACAAGTTACAACTTGACAAAGACTGTGAAACCTGACAAACTTCTTCCTTTCACAATGCAAAGAAACAGGTAACTCTTTCCTGATATATACTGTAACTAAATCCTCCGTTGCTACGGTATATTGATTTAAAGCAATGGTAGTTTGCAAGTGCAGTATTTTAAAACAAAGGATAATTCTTTCATAGAATTATAGAATGGTTTGAGTGGAAGAGACCTTAAGAATCATCCAGTCCAATCTCCCCTGCCATCAGCGGGGACACCTTTCACTAGTCCAGGTTACTCGAACACTAAAATCTTGCACACTGCCAGGGGGTGGGGCATCCACAACTTCTCTGGACGGCCTATGCCAGAGCCTCACCACTCTCTGAGCAAAGCATTTCTTCCTAACATCTAATCTAATCTAATCTAATCTAATCTAATCTAATCTAATCTAATCTAATCTAATCTAATCTAATCTAATCTAATCTAATCTAATCTAATCTAATCTAATCTAATCTAATCTAATCTAATCTAATCTAATCTAATCTAATCTAATCTCTGCTCTTTTAGTTTAAAACTGTTTTCCCTTTATCCTATCACTATCTGTCTATATCAGAAGTCACTCTCCCTCTTTGTAAGCCTCCTTTTAAGTACTGGAAGGTCACAATAAGGCTTCTCAGCCTGTCCTCATAAGAGAGGAGGTGCTCCAGCCCTCCAGTCATCTTTGTGGYCCTGCTCTGGACCTGCTCTAACAGGTCCATGTCTTTCAAGTTGCTGAGGACCACAGAACTAGACACAGCACTTCAGGTGGGGTCTCATGAGAGCAGAGTGGAAGGGGATATATTTCATCAGATGCTGTGACAATTTATTCCAGAGATTCCCATACGATGTCACAGCATYAGACATGCTGTGACAATTTAWTCCAGAGATTCCCATACGATTCACCCTAATTACAGGCTGCAGACTTCTTATTCCATTGCTAGAGCAGTACTGTAGCTTAATACATTATTGAAGAATCCTATRTGTGATTTTGGTTTAGTATTAAGATTTTGATTTAGCAGTGTCATAAAATACATGAAAGGTATAATCACAGGAAGACTACCCAAAATCTGGTGTATAAAAGCATAAGGAAAATGTTCTTCACTACACACAGTGTTTAAAAAGCCTGTTTAAAAAGCATGGTTCACATGCTAAGAAGAGCTTTCTTCTTCTATATCCTATTGACTGATTTCGCAGAAACTGACAGAGGGATTCAGATATAGAAACAGAATAAAATAATGGAAACCTGAAGGTTCATACCAAGCAGCCAGTCACATCTGCTTCTGTTTTTCCCTAGGACTGTAATCAGTAGTATAGTACACTTTTTATACACTGCCAAAAGTGCCAACACCTAAGAATTTAAAAGTAATGAATGAAAAGAGAAACTTAAAAAATAGATTATTCTTATTTAAGAACAAGACCTCTTTTGGAGGCTAGCAGTAGACTATCATGGTCACAATTAAGTTATGCTGCTGAATGTGTGAGTTGGCTTTGGCTAGGGTAGAGYTACTTTCTTCACAGTACACAGTATCAAAACTGCTTGTAGCAGTGTAGTCCAAAACACAGCCCTATACTAGCTACTATGAAGAAAATTAAWCTCTCCCACACAAAATCAGTACAAAATGCAGTCTAATGCATATATAAAATGCAGTTTAATCAGTCTAATGCATATATAAAATACATTGTTTAGGATTTCTGAGTGGGGAAAAAAACAGACAAGACAGTATGTGAAAAACTAGTAAGTTGAAATGTGCTAGTAGAAATGACCAAATAATGCTGTCAGTGTTAAACATCTTAAGTCTCTGATCCAAATATTACTCTTTTGAACTGCTTTTGGATTATTGTCAATAAGTAAGTACCGTCAGACAATCAAAACKCTTTCTAAATTGTACTTCTTTGTAAAGCCAGTTAAAATGCAATAATGATAAATGAAAAATGATGTTGAGAAGCTCCTGTACRAGCAAAAAAGTCTACTTTGAACTTTTGAAGTTTGAGCCAATTTCAAAGCTGCTGCTGCTCCAAGGCCGATATTAGACTAAGTAATGTCCAGAGGTCAAATCAAATCTGCTTTTTTTTTTTAAAAAAGCCTTCTTAGCTTGTGTATTGAAGAAACTTGATGATAAAAAAGCATGTTGAGGAAAGCAGGAAATGCTCAGTCATATACAAAAAAAATGTTAAAGAAGCAGCAAAAGGAGTCTGTTAATTTCMTTCCACTGCTTTTTTCATTCCTTTGGAAAAAAAAATACTGATCTCATTTTATGAAACACAGAAATAAAATTACATTACTACTTTTTCTAGATAATAACTACAACTGCTGCACCTATGTATCACCTGCCATGAGGACTGTAGCCAGGAAGACAGAAGGTCCAGGCTTTTGTCCCGAGGACAGAAGTGACACAATCTGCCTTTCAGAAACAACTTATCCATGAACTAGGAGATACTTTTTCAAATAACTCTAGACCATACAGAGTAAACAATTACAAGAATTAGACTTACACCAAACCTCTGCCTTAACAAAACCAAACATCCAAAAATCTATTTTGACACTACAAGAACTATGATTGAATAATTTTTCTTTCCAATTTAATATACAATATTTGTGTGTATATATATATATATATATATATATATATATATATATAATCTAACTGTAAATACATAATGTCACATTTTAATAAACATTAAAATTCTGATCATTTGCCAACTTACATAGCTCCATTAGTGTAGACTGTGTCACTTCCCTCCACATACTGAACCTGGGCTGGGTAGACATGCTGTACTTGTTGCACAGTCTGCACTTGCTGTACCTGAAAACAAGAAAATCAGAAGTTTGAGATACCATAAAGAAGTACCAATGCTCCAGTGCACCTAGTGGCTTCTAAACAATATGGGAGCACTCTGTTCTCAAAATTACTAAAGGTACATCACAGCACTAGCAAAGAAAATTACTACACAATATTTGTGCAGGAACTTTGGTGAACAGAGCCCTAACACTGAAGATGCACATTCATGGAGTATCGGTATCTTCAGTGCCAAAGGCATAACTAGTTGGATATCAACAGAATGTGATGAAATGTAACTATGTTTTGCACCAAGGTGAACAATTCCATTTACTACAGAAGAAAGTATCATTTGGTTACATTCATGSTTTTTCTTATTCCATTGAAGTCCTAAATAGTATAAGCCTAAAAATCATGGCTCAAATATGTTGCAGTAAACTTAGAAATAAAGGTTCACATTAAGATGCTTTAGTTCTTGTTTAACTGGAGTCAATACAAGATTTTTTTTGCAATAGTGYTTTGACCCAGTGTACTATAATGGGCCAAAATCCTTAGTCTGAGCAACCTCTTTCCCAGAATATTATCAGCTATTAAAAACTCCAACAAAACCTGGTTTTACTTCAATGAACTAATCATCAAGAGGCAGTAAGGCATAGATTATCTTCACATATATTGGTGAGGACAATTACTCATCAATTCCTTTGATTCATATACTACTGTAGGAGTGTTTCAGGTTATGCAAATTTTTTCTGCAGCCTTAAATATTTTGTCTTCTGCCACAGTAAAGATGAAGAATTCCATCTTTTACACCTTCCATCTTTCAGAGAAGTTATATTTTAGTCCACGAGCAGTTTAGAATCTAAAATATGCAAAAGGACTTACAGACTTCACAGAATGACACAATTGTACCCAAGGAATTTAATCAAGAAAGTAACAATGCACTTATTTAATATTAAGTGACAATATTTTCCCTCATATTTATTATGATAACGCTGCTTCAACGTAATCCAGTTGGTTATAAGGACTGCAAACACCATATACCCAGATCAGTCTGGGTTTCATGCATTTGATGAACCATCTCCAAGGGCTCTTTGAAAATATACTAATTTAATACTTTCACCTCTGTTGTGCTTTAAAAAGTCCTGTAGATAAACATATTTTTCCTAGTGTTTTATAATATTGACTATGATTGTGAAACAAAAATCTAGATTCTCACAGAAACCTTCCTTTAGGTTTACATTAAAACCTGAAGWCTGAAAGAGACAAAACAGTGAAAGTTTAGAATACAGCTGTACTATAATGATGAAAAATCTGTCCATTAGCAGCAATGAGACATAAAATGATGGCCAAGGTATCTATTAAAATCCAAAGTTTTCTGATTTCCCACATGAATGATTATGCAAATTGAGAAATACACCTGAAATACAATCTCCCAGCTTCAAAAAATATACTTTGAAGATGTTTGCTTAATTATTAAGATAAGATTAACTGTGCACATTTCTTCACCTAACAACAGTTATTTAACAGAAAGATCCAATTTATAAAGTCAATACAAAAACTCTGATCAAAATWATGCACATTACTAAAACCTTGGAAAATTCTTTGAATTAGAAAAACATAAATAGTTGTATTGTGCAAACATCTTCCAAAATCAAATTATTTCTATTTCCATCACCTTTAGTTCTTAACTTAAATTAATTSAAACCATAATTTCATGGAGTGGGCTTGATCCAAATCCACTGTAAGAAAGAAATACCTGTAAGATTGTTACTAATTTGCACCTCTCAAYATTCATATCTGCCAAATTGTGATAAAATGACCCACTCATCCAATAATTGGCCAAAATATGTATGTGCTTTACTCTGAAACATATACGCAACTTACTGTGATATTTTTAAAGTTTATTTCTAGTGTATTTCTTCCTTTTAGATGGCTCAATTCTATGACCTTCAATCAATGGGAGAAGGGGAGTCATTGTTAATCAGTCTATTACAGAATACCAGACTGATCCACTTGACCTATACTGGGAGAAAACATCTTGAAAACAGCCTTTGTTCTTAAAACTAGTAGCTTGCCACCTAACATGTARTATATATGCCCCATTTTCTCTCTCACTAGCACAGTTTGGGAAACTGGAAAATTATGCTTTTGTCAATATGAATTCCATATTCTCATGCCCCCAAAATGCAYTTCGTTCCCCATTCACACACACTAAATACAGTTTAGTCCCCATTAAAAATAACGCATACTATTTTTCTGTTAATAAAGGAGACATCATTTTCTCCCTATAACCTGTGCATACTGATAAAATGGAACTCTGTGTACAAATACAGCATTAAAACAGAGAGGCAATATTCCCCCTATATACAATATCTTATATTCTCCCATTATTCTTGGATACAAGACGCTACCATTTCAAAACCATCAGATTTAGCACAGTGCAAAACTTTYCCCACAAAACCGAGATGACAGTGCAGGGATGGAGTGTTTACAGTGCATCAACATTTACTGTCTATTGGATAGGAAACTAAAAAATGTGTTTATCTTCTAATCCAGAGGAAGAATAACAAAAATTTAATTTACCATGAAACAAAATACCAAAATCTGATCAAATTAAAATTTTCAATGCTTAATTTCAATTTCCYAGCAATTTTTATTGTTCTTTACTAGCCTAATGTAGTACTACTAGAAACTTCAGGATTGTTTATGCATAGAACGTAACTTACTTTTTTAAACCAACATTTAAGAATGGATATGCTACAATGCTATTAAAACATTTTACCTACTTTTCAAAATCAAAAGGTTTTGCCTTTAACACTGAAGTTCAGTACAAAGAMGGTCACTGAATTAATTTAATTTTCCCCAATAGAGTAGTTTTAAAAGTTCACAACAAGACTTACTTTGCATYAGCTTCTCTAAAACTCAGTACTGCTACAGTTAAATTTATTATCCTGCCAAAGGAAGTCATAGTCAGTACATGGTATTGCAATGTCCTAACAAACTTAGTGTGGGAGGGTCAGAGACAAATATTTTTCCTTTCAAGCTATGACAAATAAAATGAGTAAGGAGCCTCAGACRTGGCCTTGTATATGGAAATTCTGCCATGCTGAAAATATTTGTTATATGGTAGTTCCAATATTAATTTTATTTCCTATTTTACTTAATTTTTAATGCTTCAATAAGAATTTAATCTAGTGCCCCTAAWTTTTTTTTTTTTCATCTTCAACAGCAGGAAGAAATGAAATGCATATATTTACTCTCTATGAACAAAAAAATATTTGAGAGAAGCTGTTTAARAGGAAACAAAACACCACGAAAAATTGTGGAAAATGTGAATTTTTTTTTTCTTCAGTTTTATTTATCCTTCACTTCAGTTTTACTTATCCTTATTCTTTCACCTTTTATTAAGCTGTAAAAGAAGTGGTATCAGCTAAGTTCTGTAACTTTTAGAGGCAGAGCAGAAATTATTGACTACTCTCATGTTTTCCAGAGATCTAAACCTAAATGGCCTTCTAGTATTAAAAAATACTACAATAATTAATTTAACTGGGCTGAAAATAGAAAACACAACAAGATATTAAAGAGCAACAATATGCAGGTTCCAAAATTGTATGTTCTAGAGTGGACTGGTGAACTAATTAGTCATGGTAATTTTCATTACTGTCTGGAAAATAGAAAATTAACTGAATTGTATAGGAAGTTTTGACTTAAGTAAGGTCATTCAGTAGATCTTTCATTCCTCTTTCTTCAGTGACTCTAATCAGAAATAAAAAACTGGAATAGGATTAGAAGCAAGCAGCTGAAACATTCCAGGACAACAAGATGTGAATGAAAAYGTGTTTCAATATACATGTGTAATTATATTTACTAGCTGAAGAAGAAGAAAAAGAGGCAAAAATTAATTATATTCATAATTATACTACCTCAGAGGAATCAATGAGGGACTAAGTATTATTTTTTCTAGGAAAGTTTGTCAACAAAAATTAAGTGTATAAAAGCATACTGAAATGCTGAGATTACACTGAAGCAAAAAACAAAATGTAAGAGTGAAATTTGATTTCCGGTGAAAAGTGCTTGTGTTTAAAGTACTACTAARCAAAGACTAGAACAACGGAGCAATATATATGTATACGGATTTTAAAATTCCATTTTAAAAAGAACCTGTAATTATCCACCGTGTCTTTGCAAACAGCTTGGATGTGCAACATTTTCTGTCCTTGGAGATAAAAATAATTTTTTCCTTCATTAGTATGGATTACTTTTGGTAAGTAACTTATAAATAKCACATGCTGTAATATTCTAAGTACATTCATATTTATATAATGGCTAATGTCAGCTCATGATTATGTGCTTCGTATGCTAARCATGATTTTGCATTAAGAGCAATTTTGATTAGCAGAAGTCTGCATCTTTAGTTAATGAATGATAGAGTGCTTTGTGAATGCAACAGCCACCAAGCACAGTGACTGTGAAGAATTGCTTTGCCCAACTTTTGATACATGGATATATTTTTATAAAATAGCTCATTTTTAGTTTTATTTCTTCAATTCTTCCATATTACATGGTATAAGCTACAAAGTGAGTTTATTCTGAATCCTTAGCAGCTTACTGCACTGTGCTGAAGACTTCCTGTAGAAAAAGCAATGATGTATTAATAAAAAATTCCTGTATTTAAGGAAACAAAAGACTAAGAGAATTCSTCAGGCTATTTAAATGGAATTTAATTACACTCCCACATTTTTGGTCTTACTGTTGTTTTATGCTTATTATTCCCCTTTATCCCATCTCAACAGTGACTTCTGCTGTGCTACATGCACTTCTGCTGTGCTACATACACTTCTGCTGTGCTGCATGTGCACCAGCTGCCACTAGTGCCAMTTTTATAAGAGAAAAAATCTAGGTTTTCATAAATGGTACCTTTATTGTTCCTATTCTTGAAGCACTACAGTAGACTTCTATGAGCTCCATATTAATAGCAGCTATGTGGAAATTAGGGATTTTTTGTTAGCTGAAAATGTAAAAAGTTACTTCTGTGTTGTTTGTTCAAAAGATAGAATGCCTCAGTAGTAACACAGTTGAAGAGTAAAGGCTTTTAGTCTACCCTTCCACTTACTAAGCTTGCTCTTCTTCAGGGCAAGAAGATATAATTTTGAAAAATATATTTTGWGTGCGTAAAGGAAACATGATGCCATGAAATCAACCCAAATTTAATGGATTCAAGAAATGTCATTTAAGTATGGTGTATATACAGGATTAGAAACATGGGAAACAGAGACATCAATAGAAAATGAAATGCTATACATGGCTTTAACATTAATTAAAACCAAATTAATCTAAAATTGCATTATTCACTAGAAAATACTACTAAATWACTGCAAATGATAGTATGGAAGTTTCAGCTTACATCGAATAGTTCTATATACACTCATGTTGCAGTATCCTTGAATTCAATGAAATCCCAGAATTGTCTCATTGTTTTTAGCACTGTATATTCATAAGATAATATGATCAAAATGTGACTATTCACACAATTTGGATACAGCTGAAATTATTAAGCATGTCCCTTATAAACAAAARAAAATCCAAAACAATCCAACAAACCATATCTTATACACTGTGTGCCTGAAACCTTCTTCCCARCTTTTAATATTGGYAACTTTAAAGGTACAGAAATAGTAAGTCTTCTCTCTGCCATCAAAAGAATGACTTTATTAAAATATCCACTTCAGTRGCTCTTTCTCCTAATTTTCTTTAAACAAATTGGCCCATTCCTATCACACATACATGGAGACAATACTAACTTTACACCAGTGCAATCCATACACAGATAATTCCTCAGGACAGATCACACCTGCAATTTTTCCTCAACACAGTGATCGTTTTAAAAAAAATCGTTTTAAAAAAAAATTTAACCCTGCAGTTCCTACTATCAGACCTACATTCTTCATCACATTTCCTGCTGGCATACCATGTTCACATCTTCACTCTCCCTCTTCTCCTAACTAGTTCCATTACCAATAATCTCTCTCTACACATGTCCCATACATAAGTGTTTCAATCACTGCAATACTGTCTGCACTGGATTTCCCRCCATTATTGTTGGATCTTTAATCCCTCATTCTTTAGATTTCCTTTCTGAAGCATTATGCTGATTATACAAGAGTTAAGAGTCAGTCAGAAAAGCATCATTTACTACCTCCACAGGGAAAAATAATCCAATATAATGATGGTGTATTCAGTGCAAGCTGATACTAAGCAATACTAACCGAGAAGTAAAGGTGATCAGGAACAGTTTTACACATTTAGGTAGTATAACAAAAAAATGTGCTGTTCTATGAAAGTATAATCCACAAAGAAAAAAACCAATCTGGTCCTTGGCTTTTATGTTTTGAAACAAGTTATTAAAGAACAACTAACACATCTTCAGAAAAAAAAACACTGACAGTTGGTGACAAAGATTAATGCATTATTTATGTGGGAAAATATATTAAGGAAACTTCCCAGTCTGACCATYCAGGAGACTTCTAGTAGTCACAYTCCCAATGCACAGACTTCAACTGCTGGGCCTGAGGCCCCTTCACAGCAGGCAGCTCCAGACAACAAACAAGGAGCCAATTCTATCCTAGAAGTTTTCAAAAAAGATTTCAACTTGGCACAAAGTTTACAAGCACCAAAGTCTTGCTAATTCTTACTTTTGCTGTACGAATAAAACACAAATGCACAGAACCTGTCTTTACAGTTCAATCAATACAATTACTAGAACTGCTATAAAGTATCCTACATGGCACGAACTGGTTGCCAGTSTTCAGTTCCTCACACTGACCAGTACTTCACAAATTCAGTATGTAATATTAGACCGCTGTATGCATATCTAATATGCTGAAGAGAAGCAACCATGTAGCACTGCCCAATTGCCATCTTGTATCTGAAAATGTGAAGTAAGGGAATAGCAAAGAACAAGTCATGTAAACTGCATCTATTTAACATCTGTCATCATGAAAGAAGAAAAAACCTGAACTATCCTGACTGTATTTCACACAGGAAAAGAGTCTTGCACTCACAAATCTTACAAAGGAGTGACGGACAAAATCTTCTACAAAGGTTAGCTAAATTCAAGCATCGTACTAGAGTAACGGAACTACAAGGCATTAGAAACTGAGTCTACACATCAGGAAAAACATGTAAGTGAAATGTATGAGATGGTGAAACACATACAAAAAAATGGAATTTTRGAACTCAACAAATGCTGAAGAGTTTAATTTAGAAAGAAGTGCTCCACTGGCACAGAAACAAATGGCACTAATAAATAAAATATGTCTAGTTCTCATATTACTGATTCAGAAAATGTGAAGTCAGTTTTTGATGAAAAACAACATCAGAGGTCATACAGAATACCCATCACATGGACAGTAATTTCTGYGTTTTCTGGAAAAGTCCTGGACAGCCATCATGGCTTCCACATTGAGTTTCCATTTTCCACTTCTGCACTTTTCCCTTTTAGCTCCCCCCTTTATTCTGTCATCATTTCTTCTAAAGCTTATAGGTGCTGCATAGAGCTAACCACCTCATGTAACAGAACAGTGCACTATGCTGGCTGCTACACAAGTCATCTTCCTTCCTTGACTAGTTTACTTTATGAATTATTGATTATTATACCAGAAAAACTTTCATGATAYTGTGCATAATATCTGCTGGGAGTCAAGCCTAGAGGTGCAAAGGACAGTGCTTTTCATGTTACATTTGTACTGGACTTGGACATCCAAATGGATGGAGAAATGATGTAGCCATAATTTCAGAAATATATGCATTATTTAAAGAAAAATATATAAATATTCAGTAACATAAAGCAAACTTCTGTGAACTACTGCATGAATTACATAATAAATTACAGTTAGAATCATGTGTGAGTACTAACAGAGCTTGTCAGATGCTCTGGTTAAAGAACAGATCCTGAAAATAGCTTGCTTTTCACTGGTTATTTTAATTCCAGCAAACTGAGCAGAAGTTCCTTTAGCAGTCTTGTACAAAACCAAGTTCCTCATTATATTGCAACAAACCATCAGTTTGAATTTTTTTTAACCTTCTCAAAATTAACAGCCACGTACCTGTTGCTGAACTGGTACTTGCTGTACTACCTGTGTGGGCACTGCTGCCTGGCCAGCCACAGATGTCTGTAAAGTCACAGTCGAACCTGTATCCGCCCCAGTCTCTGATGTCTGCATTGTGATCTCTGAACAAAATTAAGACATAAAATCAAAAGGTTAGTGCATAAACTTTTTTTTTTTTGTCACTTATATTATCACTCTAATTTGTCCCTTATCTCCATGAATACTTCAAAATTAGCTAATACTATCTTGGTATGAGCCCAGAGATTTTCCACCTACTAGCATATGAGTTTGTATAAATGGGGGTTTTTGATATKACTTTTACCTTACTTATATTCAAAATATCTTTTGTTTACATATAAAGAGATATGTGTCACTTATCTGAGCTTTAATTAATAAATAAATTTTTAATAAATAAAATTTTAAGTTTTTTTTTAATTTAAGTATTTTTAATAAATAAATTTTTAATTCACTTTAGGAATACTCAGAAAAATCAGCAGCAGATCTTCTCTTAGCTTGTAAATAACTGGTCAACATTCAAAACCATTTTTTCTCTGGCTTACTGAATTACACTAAAATCTCTATACACTCAAATTCAAAGTTAAACCTGAAGCAGGACAGAGAATGAAGGGCTCTACTCTGGAAAGCAAACTCTGAAAAGTATCTAATGAGTCATAGTGAAAAAACAATTCAAATAACCTTCTTAAGTAGAAAGTATTAAAGCAATCACTGTATTTAAAATTTAAGAAACTTTTTGACACTAAAACCATGGTAGACAATTGCCTATGATCATGGCCCAGTCATTTCAAGGGAATGACAAAATCTGGGTAGAATAAGGAAATGGTTAAAGAATCAAGGAAAATGCCTGACAAAGAAAACTTATCAGAAAGACAACCAAGAATGATATGCCTTCATAGCAAACATACTGTGAGCTGTAGATTCCTCAATTTTGTGCAGCAGAAACGACAATGCAATTGACTGGTGACAAACCAAAATTAATTCAAAATCGTGAATCAGACTTTTATTCCCCATTATTCTTAAATTTATTTTAACCAGTGAAAATAATAAACAGGTGAGGTAGGTTCTTGCTCACTTGGTACCTTCAGAATAGAAGACTGTATGTGTCTGTGAAGAATCACAGTGAACTAACASAAATTACTCGTCTGTAAACCAAATTTTCTGTCATAAATTTTACTGCCGAGTCTCTCTTAATCCACATTAACTACAGAATACTTTGACTATCTGAGAACTGTCACTAAGGATGAGTAGCTTTAGCATGCACAGTAAAAGAGATTCATATATTTAAAAAAAAAAAAACCTATTGTTATTTAGAATGACTTACTCAAGTAAATTTTTTTTTTAATTTAAYTCATTAGACCCAGATGGCTGATAGGGAAAAAAACTGGACTTTAATCCCTACCACAGACACCAAATAACAAGCTCCCTTAAAAACCCTACAATATTTTTGAGACAATAAAAATTTCAGGGACATACCACAAGATAGCAGGAGGAATTATGAAAATAATTTTTCTCTTTGCTTGACAACAGAACCAGCTGTCAACAGCAAAGCTGCATTTCAAGGTTGGGTTTCACAGCAGTTTAAACTGATTTAAGGCTGGGTTTCTGTAGTTCCTCTCTCCAACTATCRCTAGTTCTCTTTGCATTCAAATGCAGCCACTGCAAAGCAGGAAACAAGTGTATAAACACGGTATGAGGTCAGACGATAGGGCCAGGACTTTGCCAATTGGGACCAATCTTGGTCTGACAAAATTAAGGATAAAAAAGAAAAAAAAAGAAAGAACTTCAGATTATATTTATATGTTAAAATCCTAAAGTTAAAATGTATGCCCACGCAGTATACATGGAAAAGCTGGAAGCTGCCATGCTGTTTGAAAGCTATGACCTAGCTGCCATTACTGAAAGCTGGTGAGATGAACGCCATGACTGAAGTGCTGACATCAATGGCTACAGGCTGTTCAGAAAGGACAGGTGAGGGAAGACAGATGGGTGTATTGTGTTTGTCTGGAAAGGTTTGGGTAGCAAGTGAAGGGTTTCTCTGAGATGCTGCCAGAAGCTTCCCCTATATCCGATGAAGAGAGTGCCAGCTGGATTCAAGTTGGAACTACTGCTCACCAAAGCTGAGCCTATCAGTGACAGTGGTAGTGCCTCTGGGATAACGTATCTGAGAAGGCGAAAAAATAAGTTATTGGGCAGAAACAAACTGCAATCACAGAAGAAAGAGTGAGAATATGTGAGAGAAACAGCCCTGCAGACATGTCAGTGGAAGAGGGGAGAAGGTGCTGAGCCGACATTCCTCTGCAGCCAATGTCAAAAACAGTGGTGAGGCAGAACATCCCCTTGCAGCCCATAGAAGTCCACAAGGGTACAGAAACCCACCTGCTGACTGTGCAGGACCTCTTAGCAGAGCAAGTGGATTCCTGAGAGAGGTTGTGACTTCATGGGAAGCCCACGCTGGGGCAGGCTGTTGGCAGGACCTGCTGGACCCATAGAGAGGGGTGCCCTTGCTGGAGCGCGACTTGTGACCCTGCGGGAAAGCCATGCTGGAGCAGCCTGTTCCTGAAGAACTGCACCCCATGCAAGGGACCCATGCTGGAGCAGTTTGTGAAGAACTGTAGCTCAAGCAAATGACTCATGGAGAAATGCATGGAAGACTTTCTCCTGCAGGAGGGACCCCACATGGGAGGAGGGGAAGAGTATAAGGAATTCATCCTCTGAGAAGGAAAGTGAGGAGGTAGAGAATCAGGAATAACGTTAAGCCTGGGAGGAAGTGGAGGGTGAAGAGAAGGTGTTTCGAAGAGCCAGGTTAATTTCTTACTATCCTACCCTGATCTGATTGGCAATAAATTAAAATAATTTTACTCAGGTTGAGTCTGTTTTGCTTGTCATGGTAATTGCTGAGGTTGAGTCTGTTTTGCTTGTCATGGTAATTGCTGAGTGATCTCTCCCCGTTACCTGCATCAATGATCTTTTGGTTACATTTTCTCTCTCTCGTCCAGCTGAGGACAGGAGTGACAGGACAGGGCACCTGGCATTCAACCAGGACAGCTTCCATTGTTCTGGTTTAAGTCTCTATTGTAAATGCAGAATTTTATTATAGTTCAGTACACTGTACTTTTTCCTTCTAGGTACCATACAATGTTTGACAGTCAACCTCAAGCGTCTTCTTATTTACTGAAAGTTTTTCTAGCATCATGTCAGTGATGCAGCCAGTGTAATTGTTTTACATTGCATCAACATTGAGAACACAATGACTGGGKTAGATTTAACCCTCTTCATAGGGGCTGGCATGGGGCTGCGTTTTGCATTTGTGCTGAAAACCGGGCTGATAACACAGAACTGTTTCTTGTTATTGCTTGCACAGAGCCAAGGCCTTTTCTGCTTTTGGTATTGCCACGCTGGGGAGGAGACTGGGGGTGCTTGGGAGGCTGGGAGGAGACACAGCAGGGACAGGTGACCCAAACTGACCAAAGAGATATTTCAGACCATGTGGCATCAGTGAGAAGGAGATGAAGTGGGGGGAGGTGCAGGGGATGGTGGAGTGATGGTGTTCGTCTTCCCAAGTCATCACGACGTGTGATGGGGCCCTGCTCTCCAGGAGATGGCTGAACACCTGCCTGCCCATAGGAAGAAGTGAATTAATTCCTTGTTTTGCTTGGCTTGTGTGCATGGCTTTTGCTTTCCCTATTAAATTGTCTTTATCTCAACCTATGAGTTCTCCAGCTTTTACCCTTCTGACTCTCTCCTAGATCACGCTGGTGGGGGAGTGAGTGAGCGGCATCAGGGGCTTGGCTGCTGGCGGGTGTTAAAACCAGGACAATAATCTAAACGAAGACTCTCCTTTTTTTTTCACTGACGCTCCATGTAAGTTAAAGAAGTGAGTATTACAGCAGAAAAGACGTCATCCTTGCCTAATTGGACCATCAGGTGTATGACAAACAACAGATGAATGTTTGACAAAGTCCTTTTTATTCTGCCTAATTAAGCAGTTGGACACACCCGCCTGTTAATGGTATTGCTTTGTATAGCCACTGCTTGTTGATGTGAATGTAAGCTAAACAGGCCACATTCTGAAAGAAGACTAATTAACCCTTCCAAGCAGGAAAAGATACTGTCRGAACCCAGATGCCGAATGCAACAAGATTAGTATTTCTTCAGTATAATGGGCAGAACTTAGGCTACTATGCTSAAAATTACTCCTTTCCTAGATATGCCATGCAATTTCATTTTGTCTATTGTGTTCACTAAAGGTTTTTTAATACACCCAAATTCTCAGTTGGAATCCCTCTGTTTTCTGGACTAGGAATATGAAGACAGAATGGTTTAAGAGTCTAACTTGCAGTATTATCAAATAAGATTGTTAAAATGTGTCAGATTACTGTTTATTTTGTTCCTGGGATACTTCACACTAAACTACTTTACTTTTTTAAGCTACCAGAGTTTGCAAAGTTTTGTTCAGCTACATATGCTTTATTGTCTAGATCAAATAATGTAGCAGGCTTTAATTCAATGCAAAAAATGAAAGCCTGTAATTTACTTTCAAGTGCAGCAGGAAATTTCTTTTTTCTCCTCTAGAAGCCTAAACAAAACATCACAGAAGGTAAACTGAACTAGATCTCATAATCACATGCAGTAATGGCAGGCTTTTAATAGTCAGAATAAAAGGCTAATCTTAAAATCTTATCTACTTATAATGATGAATAGCCAATATACTAATTAAGAATTTGAAGCAACATAATGTGTTTCACAATGAATTAAAACTCAGAACATTAAGTTTCAACAATTAATAGAGAATGCTTGGTTCCTGAACAACAGTATAAATGGAAATAATTTTCAGTAATACACTAGTTTCACATAAGCATTCCTTTACAATTTTTGTATAAACTAAAGTTTTATGAATAATTGTCACATAATTGTGCAGTGTTAGCCACACAGCAGAAGACAGATTACACAAGCTATTAACAGAGGAAAAACAAAATATTACAAATAGTTTCTAGATACTAATGTATTTTCATGTTAGACCCCAGTTTCTTACTAAACACTACTTGATTTTTTTTCTTCTCCCAAGGTTCTGGGGAACACCAGAGCAGGCAGCTGGACTCTGCCT